AAAGAAAGAAAGAAAGAAAGAAAGAAAGAAAGAAAGAAAGAAAGAAAGAAAGAAATAGCTCTGTTAGCCAGGTGAGAACATCGAGGCTCAAAACGCTAACCTGCGCACTACGGGACCTCGACGACAGTTCTACCAGATACCACCAGATGGCAGTGCCGGTCCACTTTCTAGTTACGCAATCTAGCGGGAGCAAACGGAAAAAAAGGTCCTGCAGATATTTGCTGAGCGCCTGCGGTGTGCTAGGCTCTGCTCTGATTGCTGAAGATACGTCAGCAAATTCGGGGATGGAGGGGAACCTGCACTAGGCATTCTTCCCTTCCATTCTTCCTTAAAAATCAGAGGCTTTTCGCGGAGTTGTATGTCCAAGCGGTGAGTGGCCTGACCTGGAAAAAAACCAGCGTGGAGGAATCCAAACTGGAAGCCTGAGGCAGGAGGCTCGCGGGAAGGGATGGGAGTTTCTGGAAAGTCTGCTCAAAACTCAGGAGCATCATCACACCTAGAAAAGGGTGTCATCCGGGAGCCGGCCTTAGCAAAGGTCATCTCCCCGTCATGTTTCCTGTTTCATGAGGCTGGGAGTAGGAGAGTCACCCTGGGAAGCTAGAGGGGGCAGAAAAGATGACCCTCACTGGTCTGTTTTGTTCCTCGGTGGCGCGACTTGAAAAGGGCCCCAACTTGTGAACTGAAGGTCATCCTGGGAATCAGCCCCCTGGGGTGCTTGGAGCGCAGGCCCGCAAGTGTGGTCCCCGTAGTGCTGACTTCTGACAGGTGAGTGGACTGGGAGGTGACTTAGTGCCTCCCAGGTTGGACGCTGCCCTGCATCCCTCGTTCACGCAGGTTCCATGGCCGCCCCGTGGGCTCGCACCCTCGCCAAACCCTGAGCGCCTGCGAAGCGCACAGCCAGGAGCCCGGACCTCGGATGTGGTGCCAGGGACAGCGGAGCACGCTTGCATCCGTGGGTGATGTGAGTCGGGCTCAGTGTGCGCAAAGGGACAAGGACACGCGGGAGTGTGAGCCGGAGCGGCCCATCGAGAGGGGCCGGGGCCGCGCTCGTGTGGCTAGCTGTAGTAGGCCAGGACAGCTGTGATTTGGGGACGCGCGTGTCCTGGCCTGGTGCAGATGTGTTGCGGGGAAGTCGCTGCTTATGAGCCCACGCTGGAGTGTGTCCTATGTTGGGGAAAGCTTTACTCCAGGACCCCGTGGGAGTGTCCTCCGTGCGTGTAGACGAAGATGTCTCTGCAAATGCAGCAACGTGGGCAAATGCTCCTCTTGGCTTCCTGGCTAAACGGTGGCTGGGAGCAATGGTCCTCAAATTTGGGGCGCTGGAGGCCGGAGAGAGGGCTCGGAGATCCAGCCTCAGAGAGAAGACCTAGCGCTCCCGGGTGCTCGCCGGCTGCCCGCCCAGCAGC